GTCATTTTCCAGGTCAGCCTAATTCATTACAGCAGAAGTTCGCTCTGCTTCTTATAGGGTGGGCAAACATCAGGTGTGTGGGTATTCTGGTGTAAAGTATTATTTTTTTAATAATGTCCATCAAGACCAAGGCAAACATTTAGGCAGCATAATATGAATTTGCGATGAATCCTAATGGCGCAGGAGGCGCTTCTCGGCAGCCGCTTCTCGGCAGCCGCTTCTCGGCAGCCGCTTCTCGGCAGCCGCTTCTCGGCAGCCAGGCCCCGCTCGGGCCGGGCTGCCATCACGGGGACCTCCGTCTCGGAGCGGCAACCCCGAGCCTGGCGAAGGGGTCACGATTTGCATAAAACGAGCCACGCGTGCCCAGAGCGATACTTCATGCAAGCTCGCGTGAACACGCGCTCACATTTCCATATTCTTGGTAGAACAACAACAAAAAGATGACCGCGGTCATTCCAGTCGGTGTGTCTCCAAACAATAACGCGCAGCGCTCACAGGCAATGGTCTGCTGCTCGCACGCTGGAACGCAGCGCAATAGTGGAGGGAAACATGGGCCATAGCCCAGAGCAGACGGCGAGGCGTGCGAGGAGACGTGGAGTGGTGGTGGTGGTAGTGGCGGGGCTGTGCGGTGGCCGTGGTGGTGGTGCTGGTGATCCTCGTCCGGAAAAGCCAAATGTGGCCATCGCCGCCTCGCTATCCGCTCGCCTCCCGTCCTAGCAGCATCGTAGCCCTCGCTTGAGGCGCGGCTGGCGGGGCTCTCTCTTGAAAGCGACCGCCGCGCAATGCTGCACTTGCGAGCAGCGCGGGGGTCAAGGTGGAGGCACGGAGGCCACGCACACGAGAATGTCCCATGAGCGATGGTTGTTAGCGTTTGGCAAGGACGGGGTGGGGGAGGTTGTTGAGGAGAGGGGTTTAAAAAAAATGGACAGACCGCTCCCATTACACGGAGCCAGACTGGTTCACCTGGTGACCTCGTCCTTGTTGTGTCTACGCGGAGTTTACATTCCTCGAGTTACCTGTCTGAGCCTCACACACACACACACACACGGGGTACGTGCGTGTGTCCACGCGTGACTCTTGCACCCACAAGGATATATGCACATACTCACAAATAAGCACGCACGGTGTAGGCTTGCACGCACACGCACCCACACCCACTGCACTCCAACTATACACAAGACAACCCCTCCGCGCCCAAGCAGCCACCCCGTACAGCCTGTTGGGGAAAACGCTGTCAGCGAGCACCCATTACAACTGCAACTGTGCCCCATGGGGTGGTATGGCCAAAACCCACCGCCTTTGTCCCCACAGCGCTGATGCTCACGCACAGGGCAAGGTCTTCGTTCGAGGCCGGCTTCGCAGCGCACTACGCCGATCAACGCTGCACCCCTCCACCAACAAGACAAAGATCCCCCGTATAGCCTCAACAGAGGGTCGGGGCAAGTGCTGTTAGCGAGCACCAACACGCACACACACAGCTGCCAACTCACACGCGCGTCACAAGATACCCTTCGCTAAGCACCACGGGTCAAGAGTTGAAGGTTTTTTCTTTTAATGCCATCTCATCTCACCTCTGTTTTGGATCTGTTGCAGCTGTAGTGTCGCTTGGCCTTGCTTACACTGTACGCAGAGAGAGAGAGGGGTAGAGAAGAGAGGAGAGAGGATAGCCAGACATGTGGGAGTGAAATTACATGAAAGGTTATTTTGCTGTCAACAGCCCATCACCTGAAACTCACCCCCTTGCCGGAGTCTCTGCACGGAACCGTCCGAACTTCTCCACCACGCCAGAGAGGCAAATTGTGAAAAATATGTTTAAAAAAACATAGCCGTTGAGGTAATCGATGTTAATTATCGAGCAAATGCTAGGGGAAGATTACGAGTCGTGTGTTTGCAGAAACAATTCCGAACGAGCATCCCTCGTTTCAGAGCCGGTGCTGGGCTGGCATCGCCGTATTTGCGTTGTCGAATGGTTCCAGAGGGCTCCGTGTCTCGTGAATCAACGTTCAGCCACACGGCTCCTCGCCCCGTCCTGAGAAAGGGGGCGCCCCAAAGCGTCGAGCTGCCTCAACACAGCAACACGGCGCAGCTAACCCCCCCCCCCCCCCCCAATGCCTGCATATCAATGTTTTACTCACACCGTGGTTCGTTCTTGAGATTCATTTTTGTTAAGTTATCAACCGCCGAACACGTCTCTGTGTGTGTGTTATCTGTAACCCACAACCTCGTGTACCGTGCAAAGCCCTTGCCCCAAAAGTCTGTTAAAGGCTACGCAGGAGATCCTTTAGTTGTTGTTTGCTACCAGTACACTCATTGTGAATCTCCAAACAAACGCACACAATTCCAACTCCTTGCCGAGTTCCCTTGCTGAGGGATATCGCGCGAGTCCCTGCGACGTTGCTGCGCTGGTGCTGCGTACCGGATTGTGAGCCTCCCTGAGAGTCATCGTCACATCCCTGGTGCGAAGAACAAAACGCTTCAATGAATACTACAGTCCATTCGCCAAACCTCCTCCTCCTCCTCACTTGGGCGGAAGCCCATCAAGCCGAATGCTTTACGCGGAAACTCCTTCGCCGACTGATTTCTGGCGACGCCGCGCGTTGTTTGAGCGCGGGCTCTCCTGCCACACTAGCGCCGAGCAAACGAGCAGCGGCGAAAAGCGTGGTAGTGGTGGTGCAGCGGAAGAGTGTGGACAGCACGAGCGGTGCCCGTTGGGCCCGACACGCAAACCAAACCCCTGGAAAGCCGGTGCAACGACTGATAATACCAATAATAATAATACCTTGACAAATGCAATGAATGTGTGAAGGGATTTAATCGATGTGGCCCAAGAAATTACATGAACACACTTCACACCTCTCCAGCATAGATTAACACCCCGCTAAATGTGCCATTTCATACACGAATACTTTTGTTCACGTAATTTTTTTTTCCTGATGACGTGGCATTTACAAGATGACCCCGTGACTTGAATTAGCTCCCCCCCCCCCCACCGCCGTGGAGCTGAGATGCGGTCGAGCAGTGGAGTTTGTGGTTCTAGCGCACTGCGTTTCCCGTCGTAGAAACGTCTCCGCCACTCGTCACTGATGGAGAATGTCCCTTCACTCGGGGGTTCCTCATCTCACAAAGCAGACCCAGGTTTGAGCGAACAAAAGCCTTTCTCTGCATGTTGCACTTTTTTGCAGCATTTGAATGAGTAAACTGTAAAATATATATCATCGCTAAATGTAAACGTCTTGAAGCTGGGAATTGTGGTAAAATTATTAAATCGATTTTAAAGGCAACAATTGCATTAAACACACGGCTCCAGCGTTCCTTGTCTAAACACTGCCAACCGCATTTCCCCATTGGTTGGCGAATGCATAAAAATAATAAGAATAATAATTGCGTGCGATTACATAGGACAGTCAAAGCGTAATAGAGGTCCATCACTTCCCGAAGAATGCTTTGTTTCCTTGGACAAAACCCAATTACACCAAAGATGTGATGCAATTGCTTACACAGTTGGCAGGCATCTGTTAAAAGCATGCAGAGTGTGGAAAATTGCTTAAAATTCCATGCTAGGGCCTTCACATCACCTCTCTCAGTCTCGTAAGCCTTTTTGTTAAAAACATTTTCACACCGACCGCAAAATGCTTCGTTTTCTTTAACGTCCATGACTTGACTGCAGCTAGGTTTTTTTTTTCCCGCTCCCCCCCCCACCTCTCTCTATATTCTTCACTTTCTGATGCTCCAAAGAGAATTCCTTTTGGAGAGGTTAGCGGCAGGAACTGCTGACAGCCAGTCGCTCTTTGTAGGCTCGCGAGGGTGGCACGGTGATAATCGGGTCCGGTGGAGCGCGAGAAAAATTACTCGACTTCTTAGCCGCTGTATTTCCATGCAATTAGAGACTTAATAGGAACATTGTCAATTTTCTTACACGCCGCCGATGCGGTGGATTTAGCAGTCGAGAGCGGAGTAATGGAGGCTTTAGGTGGAACACTCGCGGCTCCCAGTTGCGCACCTCTAGCGATGAAATTCCCCATCGTGAGAGCCAGCAAAGTGTCGTGCAGTAAGAGCGCACAAAAACATCAGCTTTCATCAGCGCTGTCAGGTAGAAAGCAAACGCTATATATTTTTTATTTACATTTTTCTCCCACTTTTGGCAAAATATCTGCCCCACCACACACCTCTCCCGTCGCTCTCTCCCACCCCTGCTCCCCTTTTCCCCCTTCCCCCCCCTCCAACACAGCTCCAGACCCACACCGAACTCTCCCCATTGCACCCACCTCCAGCCACAACTAATGCCTCCACTGGACAGCGTGCCAAAAAAAAATATCCACCTTGTCGAAAGGCAGACAGGCCAGATCCGAGAGGCGAAAGCTGCAATCAAATCTGCCCCTAACCCTACTCGGGCCCCCACCCCTCTCCAGACTGGCGCGCGCACACTTAACATTCCAGACACCTCGTCGTGCAGTCATTCCACTTCGTCTTGGCCCCCGGATGTTTGGAAGGCTGCCAAGGTGCCTCGTTGGGGGCGAGGTGAGGTCTGGGGGTTTGGGTTGGCGTTTAAAAGGTAGATGGGACAGTTTTGACTCGGCCGGTTTTTATCAACAAGTCGGGAGTGAAGGGACGGCGACGAGCCGGGGCTCTGCGGGACGGGCATCGACAGCGAACCGCGAGAGGCAATGGGGGTGGGTGAGGGGCGTGGGGACTGCAAGCTCGCAGTGTGGGGTTACGGGAGCAGATTTCAGCCACACCGCAAGCCTGCATACGGGGACTCATTTGTCCACGATGCGGACGCCCGCATTTGTCAAAGGTTGTGGGTTTCACGGCTCTAAAAATGCAGACGCTCACACTTAGCGGAGACGGTCCGCTTTGATGGTCACGAAACAAATTGGTTTAAAAAAAAAACAATCGTCCCCACAACACAAGAGTTTTGGCCCCAGGTAAAATAGGGAACGTAAAAACAAAACAAAAAAAACGCTTTCATTCTTCAAAAAGGCAATAAGTGAAATCCAGTGTTTGAAAAGTCATTTAAAAAACCCACTTTATTTTATTTTATGCATGCGGCGTGTTCCTCGCGTTAAAATGGAGAATCTTTTTAGGCCGATCTTCGAGCATGTGACCCCGATGACCCCCGAAAAATCATTTGCTTGCTGCGGTATTTTGCGGCAACCTGCGAGAAAGCAATAAATGGGAAAACAGTAGTTGGAAGAAACTTCCAAAAATTTTTATTTGAAATGTTTCAAACAATAACAAAAAAGGAGGCTTTAAAAAAGCTAAATGAGCTATCGTTTTTTTTGTGTTTTTCGTGGTTTTTTTGAGGACGCATTCATAACAATGGCCACAACAGCGTGCATGTTGGGTGAACCAATTTTGCATCTTTAACATTGACGGAATAAATACTCAAATGTCAGGGTAAGGAGACCTTAGGCCAACCTCTGACACCTTACAGATTTTTCTTTTAAAAAAAAATTGACAAAATTAAAAGAAAAAAAAACAGACATTTAAACCGCGCTTCCATTTTTAACAGAGCGCCTTGTAAGCGAAAAAAAATAGAACGACGTTAAAAAATAAATATAAAGTTTCATAGCAAATTACGAACATGTCCAGGGTACCAAGAGAGCATTTCCATAATTACAGGGTTACTAAACAAACGAAAAAAAATTACCAAATAAAACACAGAGAGAGATAGGCATGAAGCAAATGAACTGTGTCTCGCCATTTACAACGCTGAACCAAAAGGAGAAACAATGTATAAAACCACTGACTTAAGTGACATTTGATCACTTTGCATATGATGTTCAGTCAAAAGTACAAAAGCACCATGAGTGTTGGCAGTAAGGAAAGAAATGTAACTGAAGACGTAGCGGACACTTAGCTTACTGCATATACAACAATATCAAATATTGGAATGTAAAAAGCATGAGGGGACCAAACTGCGCTAAAAACACACCACCTATTGTTTGACAAAAGGCCTGCATTCAAATCATTTAGATGCCATATATAGAAATTATTGACAAAAACATTTGTACATCACCTACAAATTCCAAGTGACAAAATTATTTTTTCCCCATTTTTTTCGTATTATGCTTTTACAGTCGTTATACGAAACCTCCCCCCCCCCCACCCGTGCCCCCCACCCCATCTGTGCAATATTTCTTGTCTGCAGCCCCCCCCCCCCCCCACGTGATTTTAGTTTTGCCCGACCTCAAGAACGTACAGCACCATCAATGATGCTGCTGCACCTCTTTACCCACACTGTATATTATCCTGCCAAATTAAAAAATATACCATGGCAGCCTGCGTACCACTAAAATCCTACCAAAAAACATCAAAAAGCAATTATTATTATTTTTTTTAAAAATTACAAGCCCAGTTATGGACAGCATAGTGCCAACAATTAACATCTACATCAAACAACATAGAAATAGTTACCGATAAGGACCACGGCTGTGGCGTTTCCATTGTAACTAGCATTTTTAAATATTTATAAATGCATAAACACCAAACGTACACTTTTCCTTCTCTCTCAATATATAGTTACCGGTAACAATGACACATTTTATGCAGCATTGAATTCGTAATTCTTCTGTCTCGTCACCTTACTCATATGCCTCTTCTCCGTATACTTGAATTATATTTTGCTTAATGTGATCCAAGATCAACGACTATACTGACAAGTAAAATACAGCATCTGCAACCTAGCGAGTACCAAAGCTACCGGAGAAAGAAAGGGGATGAAACGGATTCTCTCATGCAATACTATTTTTTGAAGATCCATTTTCACGTGTTCAGTCCTTTAAAAGATTCATCCATAGCAAATAAGATAGTACGACAGGCTAGCTTAGAGCTAAAATTACACCAGCCGCAGTGGCCGATAAGTGCGTTTTTTTTTTCAGTTAAGTGTTGATATCAGTAACAAACGGTCCTTTTTAAGCGACGCATTTCATTTTAGTTTACATGCTTTAATCCCTGAACAATCAGGGATGCGAAAAACAGTGCTAGAATCGACCCCTCTCTCACTCTCCGCTTGTGCTACAACTGTTTATTAATGTGATAGTCTTACAGCTTATAATTTAGGCAATCTCAAAATTAAATATCTAGCATCTCCGTGTGTGATTCCTACTGTACAAATGGCGCGTGCAGTGCTTTGCGTTCCGCGCGCGCCGCTACCGAACGGGATTCCCTCGACGCAGGCAAGGCAGGATTAAAACTACAAAAGCAGTGATGAGCTCTTGCAAGCATTCATCCTGACGTATCCAGTTAGCAGAGCGTGAGATTTTAATCTCGTCGGAAGAAAAAGGCCAAAAAAGCGCTTTTAAATGCGGCAGAATATTCCTGGGAAGTTCTGGCCGGTAAATGTCGTGAAGGCTCCGTTTGCTTCTGGGGAAAGACTGTTTAACAAGGCACTCGCACATTAATTTTCCGATCCCATTATTACTTGAAATGCAACCTCGACAGAGCAACGCGACTCGCTTCGTTGGACGTCTCGTACTGCTCGTCTTTTTAAAAGGAGGCTCGCAAATGTTTACTTCTATTTTGAGAGTCGCCGTCTATTTCAACAGCTTGCCGATATATTTTGTCAAATCTGTGGTAATAAGCCACTGTGGATTTGAAAAGGCGCCGAGGATTTTTGCGGAAAACTAGGAACCTGTGTGACCTGCGATCGACTGGACGCGCCACACGTGCCCCTCCGCTCTCCCCGCCGCACGCGCGACCGTTATTGCACGAGAGAGAGAGAGAGAAAGACGAGGGACGTCGTCGCCGGCGCGTAGCATCGGGGACTTCGCTTACAGCCACAGCCACATCGGGGACTTCTCTTACAGCCACAGAGTTGCCCAAGAGAGCGTCGCGTCTCCTCCGTCCCTCCGTCTCGCCCCCCCGCCCGCCCCCCAACTGTCTCCCTCCCTTGCTGTTCTTGTTCAATTTGGTCCCATGGGGAGTGAATTGTTGACGATCTAAAACAAAACAAGTTGTGGAAACTTTCTGGACAACAAATTCTTGAATGACTTGGGCAAGCTGAAAGAACGCATCAACGTTATTTATATTTGTACATTTCCCGTGTGCCTGGTGGTCACCGTTGCCATTATTGGAATTCTAAGCAGTGCTACAAAGCGAATAACCTCACTCAATTTAGTACTAAACCCACGAAGAAGTTGGCTCCACCGATTAAATAAACCTGCTTCCGTGTTGTCCTCAACGCAGGTGGGCACCATTGCAGCGACCACGCTGTCGACGAGGTTGACCGTGCGGAATGTAATACCCTCTAAGGCGATATTTAAAGTAGATATTTTCGTTTACATTTTGCAAATATTAGCCTTGACTCAAAGATATTGGCATAATGAATGAGCTTGATTTGTAAGCAACGGGATTCAAAGTCGGGTCATTCCTTGAAACGTTCGCTTGAAAGTAGAGGCAGGATTTATTTTTGTTCCCGCATTTAGTGTTTCCATTCGAGTTTTATGGCAGAAAATCAGCACAACTTTTACATTACTTTACAAACTTCCAGCTCGCACCCAAAGCAAACGAAATAAATAAATAAAAAGTTAGAAATATATAATTGCTGGGGCGGGTGGGCGGGCGGGCGGACAGGTGGCAGGAGGAAATTAAAAGCCCACGCCAGGGCTGGAATGGAATGAAGAGCGAGAGGCTGTGCGTGCTTGTGGGCCTGAGAGTGCGTGGATGCAAACGGCCAACACGGCAGGGGGCGGAGGGGGGCGCGGGGTGGAAGGGGGGAGCAGAACGGGTCCAGAGTTAGGACCAGAGCAGGACGGCCAAGCGGTCTAGAGGAGTGGTGGCGGTCGATGTGGGGGGGGGGGGGGGGTTTGACGGAACCAGGCATGGACCGGATGGCCGGCCGGCCGATGGGCGGGTGGGCGGGCGAGAGGAAACGTCACGCCGTCCTCAACTGGTCTCCGTGTGCTCGGACTTGACTTCGTCGTCAGTGGAGATGAGCTGCTCGCCGTGCCACTTCTTCATGTGCTTCTCCAGTGTGCTGTACACGCTGAAGGGCATCTGGCAGATGTCGCACTTGTAGATCTCCTTGCCCATCTGGCCGTGCGTCTTCATGTGGCGCGTCAGCTTGCTGCTCTGCGCGCACGCGTAGCTGCACAGCTCGCACTTGTAGGGCCGCTCGCCCGTGTGCGAGCGCCGGTGCACCGTCAAGTTGCTGCCGTTCTTGAACACCTTGCCGCAGTACTCGCACGTGTCGCTGCGCCGGCCGTCCTTGGAGCTGGAACGCCCCGACAGGTTGGGCGTGCTGTTGCCGCTGCCCGTGCCGCTCTGGCCGGAGTTCATGCCGTCCAGCAGCTCGCCGGGCGGCGTGGAGAAGCGCAGGCTGCCGTTCTCCGACGAGTGTTCCGAGGAGGAGGCGAACGGGGACCGGCGAGAGTCCCCGAACCCAAAAAAAGGATCCTTGCTGAGTTGGCGCGACGCGGCGTAGCCCGCCAGCCACTGCGAGTAGACGTTCTCCGTGGGCAGCATGGGTGCGGGCGGCAGCTCGAACTCCTTCTCGAGCTTGATGCGCTTGGGGTAAGTGCTGAGCAGGTTGGGGCTGGAGATGGGCGGGGGGTTCCGGGGCACGGCCGTGCCCGGGAGCTGCCCGGGCGAGAACCCTCGGCCGTTGACGGGGCTCTCGGAGACGTGGTTGGACTCGGCGTGGGAGGAGGGGTCCCTGTCGACGGGGCCGTCCCGCGGCGCCCTCATCACGTCCAGCGGGTGCTCGGGCGGGGGCGGGCACTGACGCCGCTTGCCGGCCAGGATCTGCTTGAGCGCCTCGCTGTAGTGCTGCATCGGGTTGAGGCCGACGCTGTCCATGACGTCGTTGAGCGCAAGCGGTTTGCGCTCGGCCGGCTTGCCGTTGCGCTCGTGATCTCGGCCGCTCTCCGCGTTCAGGTCGAAGGCCGAGTCCGGCCGGCCCCGGCCACGCTCCTCTTCGGCCAGCTCCTCCTCGGCCTCTTCCTCCTCCTCCTCTTCCTCCTCCTCTTCGTTGTTGTCGCCGTCGCCCTCGCAGCGGTACTTGCGCTCCCTCGATCCGCGGAGGCCCTCGCTGGCGCCCGGCTCGGGGGAGCTGGCCTCCGAGCGGCCGTCCTCCGAGTTGCCGGCGGCGCCGCCGTGCGACGGCGACGAGCCCCCGGCCGGCGAGCACGTGTGCGTCTTCATGTGCCGCTTGAGCTTGCTGGCCTGCGTGCAGGCGTGGTCGCACACCGGGCACTTGTAGGGCTTCTCGCCCGTGTGGCTGCGCCGGTGCACGATCAGGTTGCTCTGGAACTTGAACGTCTTCCCGCAGAACTCGCACGACTTGGGCTTGAGCGACGACTGCGAGGACGCGGCCGGCGAGACGGAGGCCGGCGGAGGGGGAGGGGGCGGGATGGGAGGAGGCGGGGGGAGTGGCGGGGGAGGGGGAGTGCCGAGAAAAGGCGACTTGTTCCCGGCGCCGCTACCGCCAGCCGGAAAGGGCTGCAGAAGCCTTGGTAGGGCGCCGTGTCGGCCCGGGGAAAGCGGCGGCGTCGAGTTCCCAGCAAGCTCGCGCAGCCGCCGCGAAAAATCCATCGGCAGCGGTGGTTCCATCCCGATGGGGTTCAGCCTGAGCGCCCTCTCGAAGCCGCCCGGAGGGTGCGGGTGGGCGTGCGCGTGCGGGTGGGCGTGCGCGTGCTGGTGCGCGTGCGCGTGCTGGTGGTGGTGGTGGTGGGCGGCCGCCGCCGCCAGCGCCATGCTCTCGGCGCTCAGGCAGTCGAGCCGGTGCGGGTCCAGGTGCGGCCTGGGGGGCGGCGGGCTGAAGAGCGGCGGCGTCGGGGGCAGCCGCCCGCCGGGGCCCCCCGGCGCGCCTTCCCGGAGGCCCGGGTGGTGGTCGCGCAGCACGGGGGGGCCCGAGAGGCGCAGGAAGCTGAAGGGGTTGGCGTCGGGCAGGTGCAGGCCCGGCAAGGGGGGCGGCGGAGGCAGGGGCGGGGGCTGAGCGGGCGAGTCGGGGCCGAGCGAGGGCGGCAGGCCCACGCGCGGCGTGAGCGGGCTGCTCGGGTGGCCGTTGTCCAGGTAGATGCGGAAGCCGTGCGTGTTCTGCGCGTGCCGCAGCAGGAACCAGGCCGAGGAGAAGGGCTGTTTGCACGTCGTGCACACGTAGCTGCACGGCTCGTCCTTCCCTGCGAGCGACAACGACACGCACGCACGCACGCGGGGGCGGGAGGGCTACGGTCACCTCGGATCTTCGGGAGTGGTGGGCGCCGGCGAGAGAGGAGGCGTCGACAGAGAGACGGGCGCGGTAGAAACAGCCGAGTGAGATTTCATCGACGTGAAATTAAAATGCTGCGCGATTTACCCGGCTTCAGCCACGCTCCCCGCCTCCCCTGTTGCCCGCATAATAATATTAATAATTATATACTCAAAGATGCACCAGTTTTGGTTCATTTTGTAAAAGAGTAACGCTTTGTGCGGGAAAAAATACTTGCACGGGGTGTCCGTATTCAAAATAGGTTATGGAAAAAAGGTTAATTTCTACCCGTGCAGCTTATCTGCAATTGTGAATGTGGTCATTCTATGGTAATTAACACTTTACCTTGGAGAGTTAATGCCTTCCTCAGTCTATAGGACCTCATATTATCACCGAAAATGTAAGTGGGCGGCGGTCTATTATTTAATTTGAAAAGGCCCCTGCTAAAATTACTTAATAATGATTTTCGTTATTGTTAAAGCCAGTCAGTATTGTTGCCATGTGTGCCGTCCCTTTAACAAACGGGGAAATATTGTCACGAAAATGCAATCCGCTTCTCTATGCGGAGGAGCGCTCACGACGGTGGCCCTGCCACGGCACTTCCATCGTACCGTTACCGCTCTTCAATTCGTGTTACCTTCTTAAAGATGTCACGTGGTACACCGTGACAAACGGGGCACGTTTGATTGCGTGATTAACGTTCGACGGGGGCTCGGGCGTGGCGATGAGAGGAGGATTCACTCGGCCGCGGCCGCTGACAAACCCTCGCGGAACCAAAACCGCCATCGCCCCTCATTGATCGTGCTGAGATAATGCGATTCCACAACAGAATCGAGTGAGCACAGCGGTTACTCAATGAGAAATACAGGAAATCAGTTTCTATTTGCGTCGTATTTCTGCCAAGAGACACGTGCGGCGAGCGGCCAAAATTAATTTCAGAGAACCCACTTCCTTCGCAGCAATTAATGCAATACTCGTGCTATTGGGCTAATGTATCTATGGTATTTGTATCCTCAATTGCTGATAATACATTTCATATCTTGGCAAAGTGATTGAAGATATTTTCAAAAGTGTTTTAAAATGCAAAGCAAAAATGTAATTGCCTGCTGGTGGAATGCATAATGCAAAGCAGCACATTGTCCATTACCGCTGTGCCTTATTGGCCCCATCAAACTAAACTATAACCAATAGATATCATCCGTGGCATGCCGACCGTTATTGGCACGGGTTTTCAGTTGGCGGCTCGCAAAGCGTTTAAAACGGCGTTGGATACACTCTTATCAGAGGCCCCCCTCCCCATTTAGTGGGACCAATAAAACAAACGCAACGCTTGACCACCTCCTCGCAGACACAAACGACGTCGACTGCGAGGACTTAAAGACACAAAATGATAATCCGCCGAGGAAAGGGCCGCTGGGGAAACGCGGCGGAGAAGCCGCGAGCAGTCAGAAGCGAAGGTGGAGGCAACCCTTGGCGCGGGTGACACGAGGCGCAGCCAACCACAAACCACTCGACGTGGTGGTGGTGGTGGTGGTGGTGGCGGTGGCGGAGAAGAAACGACTCCCGCAAAGCTGTGCCCCCCCCCACCCCATCGTTGTTTTGTTATTTTGAACACAGCCTCCCCCGAGCACGACATCGCATTTAAAATTACGACACGGAGGCTTTGAACTTGTTTTTTTCTGCAGATGTCCTTCTAATCGGCGGTTGGCGGCAGGTGAGGAGCCTCCTCCAGCTCTGTGGGACACGGCCGCCGTTTCGCCGGCCGCATGTGGGACGCGTGTCGAATGCGTGTCAGCAGCGTGTCAGTTGCATGTCGGCCGTGTGTCAGCATGGTGTCGGCCGCGTGTCAGCCGCGTGTTGGGTGTCGGCCGCGTGAGCAGCCTCCTCCCGCCCCGTGGGACACGGCCGCCGTTTTGTCGGCCGCGTGTCGGTGGCGTGTCGGTGGCGTGTCGGTGGCGTGTCGGTGGCGTGTCGGTGGCGTGTCGGTGGCGTGTCGGTGGCGTGTCGGCCACCTGTCTGCTGCCCGGGCGGTACGAAGGCCATCGGGCCATTTGTGGATGTTGCCGAGAAAACGGAGCCGCCGTGGCCACGGCTCGTTAGGAGGTCCTAACCCCCGGCGAGTACGAAGCGGCGTATGGAAGGGCGGCCGCCCGGCCGGCCCCATCCTACCCACGGGCACAGGGCCGTTACCAATTGCAGTGGCTGTAATTTAATTCACGCTTTGCTGCTTGATTAATTTTGATACGTTATTGTTCATTTGTTAAAACATTATTAACCTTGACCATTAAGGAATAAAACACGACGAATTATTATATCGGAAACGTTTATCGCTATTATTGTGAGTTTTCATGCTCATTCATAACTACCATGGATTTTTACTCAAGATTTGGCTTTGCCTATGTATTGGATTTTGGTCATCTCATGCACTGTTATAAATATGCACAAAGTGGAATTAGTCACAGAATCTGCATTCATGGACAATAAGGAAAAAAAAGCCACCCCATTATCCATCACTATTCAAGACACCACATTCAAGCTTTCTGCGCATGCATAGAGACCCACACAAAAGACATCTTCCACAAAGGTAGAGAACATCCATTCATTGTGGCGAGCGTGATTTCAGTCTTTCTATTCTGGTCACCTGTCTCTAATGCCACATCTGGTCAGTGTGAAAGATTGACCTTCACCCCTTTGGAGTCTAATGGAAAGACTATGCGAGATGAACACAAATGGGACGCACCTGCACGGGCGCGAGACGCGGGCTCACAAAGCCACGGTTTTAGCATTTCAAGTGAAAGGATCGGGAGAGAAGGGTGGGTGGGGGTGGGTGGGTGGGTGGGGGGAAAAGAAATTAAGTTGAGATGCTGGCCTTATCTACGCGCTGCCCTCTCCACCATGAGTCATGGAGACTCTTTGCCTAATTCTTCGACGGTCGCATGGTGGCCCCGGCAGCGACGGTGCACGGTAACGTTTGAAAGGGGCCGGACCTCTGACTTTGGCTTTCAATTCCAAACAGGGCGCAGAAATCCACAAAACGGCCCCGATTTATGTTGTTATTTGCGCAGCGTCAGTTTTATGGTAAGCGTAATTAGTTTCCTCATCTGAAAAAAAATGTCCCAAAGAGTATTTCTAATTAAAAGTTCACAGCTGATTTTTTTTTGTTCTGCGTGGGTTTTAAGAAGATATATAATAATGTCGTTTTTATTAATTTGTTTTTGTTGGTGATGACTGAGACGAATTTAAAAAGCGATAATTAAGAAGCGCAGAACGAATGGCGCGGTTGTGGGGGCCCCTCTGCTCGACTGGCGCTGGCGGCGCTGGCAGGAGGGCAGCGGGGACAGGGCCCCACAGACGCCAGCGCCTCGAAATTTCACTCGGGCATGGGGGCACGGACGCGGATGCGATTTGACAGCCTGCCGTGGTAAAGAGAGAGACTGCACCCCATGAATGATGCATGCAATTACTTTCTCCACTTAAATATACGTTGCTTGGAAGAGAACAGCCTGCAGACAAAAAGCTTTTATAGGTAACGGCTGGAGACAGCTCAAAGGGCTGGGTCGTGATAGGCTAACTGGCTTGGGCTGTCTTGACGGAAACTGCCTTGCCATTTCTCGACTCCTTAAATGACGGCGGGAACCCCACCACGTCCTCGCGTGTGCCCCTTTGCAGCGATGATAGTTTTTTTGTTTCCGTCTCATCTTTGCGTTCGCGATATATACACACACACGTGTATTTCCTAAGCAGGTGGGAAGCGGTTGAACATTACGTGGACAAAATCGCTGACACCAAGTATCCGAACCTGTCCAGAGCGTCCCCCTCGGTAAACTTAGCTCCAGCACTTGGTGTGGCGTGTGAACATCGGCAAGGGGGAGACAGAGACGGAAGGGAATTGGCCACAGCGTGCCTTTGTGCACTGCCATGGCCATAGTAGGTGATACTCACTAACACAGTAGGTGATACTCACTAACACAGTAGATGTTACTCACTAACACAGTAAGTGTTACTCACTAACACAGTAAGTGTTACTCACTAACACAGTGTTACTCACTAACGCGGTAGGTGATACTCACTAACACAGTAAGCGTTACTCACTAACACAGTAAGTGTTACTCACTAACACAGTAAGTGTTACTCACTAACACAGTAGGTGATACTCACTAACACAGTAAGCGTTACTCACTTACTCACTAACACAGTAGGTGATACTCACTAACACTGTAGGTGTTACACACTAACACAGTAGGTGTTACTCACTAACACAGTAGGTGTCACACACTAACACAGTAGGTGTTACACACTAACACAGTAAGTGTTACTCACTAACACAGTGTTACTCACTAACACTGTAGGTGATACTCACTAACACAGTAGGTGATACTCACTAACACAGTAGATGTTACTCACTAACACAGTAAGTGTTACTCACTAACACAGTAAGTGTTACTCACTAACACAGTGTTACTCACTAACGCGGTAGGTGATACTCACTAACACAGTAAGCGTTACTCACTAACACAGTAAGTGTTACTCACTAACACAGTAAGTGTTACTCACTAACACAGTAGGTGATACTCACTAACACAGTAAGCGTTACTCACTTACTCACTAACACAGTAGGTGATACTCACTAACACTGTAGGTGTTACACACTAACACAGTAGGTGTTACTCACTAACACAGTAGGTGTCACACACTAACACAGTAGGTGTTACACACTAACACAGTAGGTGTTACTCACTAACACAGTAGGTGTTACTCACTAACACAGTAGGTGATACTCACTAACACAGTAGGTGATACTCACTAACACAGTAGGTGATACTCACTAACACAGTAGGTGTCACACACTAACACAGTAGGTGTTACTCACTAACACAGTAGGTGTCACACACTAACACAGTAGGTGTCACTCACTAACACAGTAGGTGTTAC